CTTCATGTATTGTGTTGTACATATGTGCATGAACGAGAAAAAAAAAATTCGAAAACGTGATCAGTGTCACCAGTTTACGAAAACACGCACAACTTGGCCATTCTTGACGCCTGATTGAGCGTGCTCTGTCTGCGTTACATACCAAATGCACGAATTGGCGCGCGAACGCTAAACTTGCAGTAGGCTTGCTGTTTAGCGCGTGCCAAACCGTGCCGCATGTTTAAATCATTCCTTTCTTTTCCATTAGTAAAGTTCTTTTGTTTGAAAGACTTTTGGCTTTGATGAGCATTGTGTTACATTACATTTTCCCAAGCTGAGTGCTTTGTTAATTTCTGACTTCTCTGTGTAGAAGGTCATTTGTCATCGCCTATTCAATGATGTATCTACAACTGGATTTTTTAGAAACTCAATATATTCTGGAGAACTTTAAATAAGTGTTCGATTTTCGTCCAATATTATGGACGTGTTGTGGAATTTCGATTTTTCCGTATACCTGGCATTTATTTATTCCAATAAATTTTCTATCCTTTTCAGATGAGCTCCATCGGTACGGGTTATGATCTAGCGGCGTCAACATTTTCACCTGATGGACGGATATTTCAAAGTAGGTTCTATTTCTTACTTCTCATCAGCACTTGAAAAATTTCCGGACGTTTAGTGTATTGTGGAGGAGCTCACGTATTCGGACTAAACTGTATTATAACTTCAGTCCGGTACCATTCGTACCTAGTAAGTAGCTGCCCTCACCCCCCACCCCCTAGACTGCCTACACTCCCCCTGGCGCACAGGTTTCTCGATGTACGGGACCCCGTGAGCCAGGGGGTGTGAAGGCAGTCTAGGGGGTGGGGGGTGAGGGCAGCTACTTACTAGGTACGAATGGTACCGGACTGAAGTTATAATACAGTTCGTGAGACTATGCCCAAAAGCAGAAATGAAGTTATACGATGACTAGAAAACGGGTGCTGACTTGCTAGAGGCCGGACGCATAGTCGGTCGGACGACAGCAACGACTGCTGCTGTCGGACGACAGCAACGACTGCAGGTGTCGCATAAACCGCGGTCGCAAATGGAAGGCGACGCGGTCACCCAATGCAAACCCAGACAACACGTGACTGCGCGTGATCGTATTTCGAAAGTCCCACTGTAGTGTGGAATAGTAGCTGCGTATTGATCTTGCAGTCGTTGCTGTCGTCCGACAGCAGCAGTCGGACGACGATGTTGGGGGTGCTACTTAAGTGCGGTGGGCGCGCTGGGCGCCAGCGCTCTGGGTCGTGTGCACCGTTAGGCTGGTGTCAGGAGTCCAGCGATTCAATTTTGCGATTGTCGCGATTTTGCTGTCGCGATTTTCGCGATTTTCGCGATTTGCGCGATTTTCGCGATTTTCGCGAAACCTGCGATGGATCACAGGAGTTGGAAGTGCCCGATGAATACTGCGAGGTGTTGTTTAATCCTGCTGCGAATTCTGCTTGGCAGTAAAGATTGGAAGACGAATGTTTGTGGTTCTACTTGTTTCATGTTCAATGTCTATTAGTTCATTGAAATGCTCTTGAATCGTCTTTTTTGTTTCTTTTTTTTTTTCAGGAATCAAACCAAACCAATCACAAAAATTGCAAGTGCCCCATTTGAACAATTGAAACACTGGATATGAAACAAGTGGAATCATGAGCAGTCTCCATTAAACCATAACCATCAAGCAGAAGTGACGGCGGGATTGGAGAACACCTTGCAGTATGGATGGGGCACTTGTGATTTCCGTGACCCGTCGCGCAAATCGCGAAAATCGCGAAAATCGCGAAATCGCGAAATCGCGAAAATCGCGCAAAATCGCGGACTCTGACATCAGCCCTAGACAGATGACAGCTTTGGCGAATCGCGCGATTCGCAAAGTCTGACATCGGCCTTGAGGCTGGTGTTAGAGTCCGCGATCCGTGGCAAATTTTGCTGATTTGCGCGAATTTCAGACTTGCGCGAAAATCTTACGCGCACTTAGCGACAGGATCGTTGTACGCTGGCACCGGGCTAAGGTTAGGTTTGCGGTGCCCTATATTATTTGGCGCTGCGCGGGCGGCCAGAATGGTAATGGCCCATTGGTCAACCTAGGAGGTGTGCATACGAAGAGAGCGCTGCTGTTGTCTCTCCCTCCCCCTCCCCCTCCCACCAACTAAGCGAGCGCCGTGTTCGGCTCTTTACACGCATGCTCGCTCCTCTCAATCTAAGAACGCTGGTGTGGTTCGCTAGGGCAGAAAGCGTCTTTTTCTCTTTTCGCAGCGTAATTCTTTCGCTGCGGGAATCTGGGCCAGCCATGATTAGAGGTGGACCTGGGTTCCCGCAGCAAAAGCAGGGTCGCGCTGCGAAAAGCGAAAAAGTCGCTTTTTGTCCTAGCGAACCACACCCTAAGAATACGAGCACCAACTTATCCCTTTGTTTTAGTTGAGTATGCTCAGAAGGCCGTCGATAATAGCGGCACAATGATTGCTCTTCGTGGCAAAAATGGCGTGGTCACGGCTGTTGATAAGGTGATAACTTCGAAGATGTATGAAGAGGTGGGTCCTTTTTGGAGTCTTTTTTATTCAAAGTTTCTATAAGGTTCTTAAGGAGAAGAAGTGGGTTCAGTAGAAATCTCATATGGTTCTGGTCTGCTTAAGCCGTCATTAATTTGATGGTAGCTTCATATAGAACTACCAGTTTGGCTGCGCACGCATTCGCGTTCATCATACGGGACTGCACTGAGATAAGAGAACCATCGATAGTTTTGTGATCCACTTTGCCAAACTCCGCCCATTTCGGTACGTACCACGCCTTGTAATAGCAGTTTATCTCCTTTCCTTCGCTGACCACATCTCTTCCGGTTTCCGAACTTCTTGGGACCGATGTATAAGTTTGGTGGCAAACTGCGCTCGCTTCGGTGCACACTACACGGCTTCCTCACTCTTCACACTTTGGGGCGCGGCTGCGGCGAGCGTGGCCACTTTGGTAGTCCCCGCGAAGGTGCGGATACATTTGTAAACGCATTGAAGCTGCTTGCAAACTATGCTGGTGAAACGTTTTCGAATTTTTTCTTGCAGTTCGCGGGCTCTGCAGCGCTCCTAAGCGTGAAGAAAATGGGGGAGCCCACGCCACACCTACCATCAACGTTCAACGTTCCCTTCTCGAACCTTCGTCCACTTTTTCCGGCTCCCGGACGTTCGAACCGAATTATAAGTCTAGTGGCAAACCCCGCCCGCTTAGATGCACTCTCCGGGACTTCTCAGAATGGTGTCATCATGTTCCTTGCTAACCCCGCCCACTTTAGTGCACGCTTCACCCACTGATAGCATTTGGGCTACCTTCCTTCACCAACCTTTATCCACTTTTCTCCGTCTTTGGGACCTGAACCGAGTTATGAGGATTTGTAATAAACGCTGTTCACTCAAGAACGAGCTCCGCCTCTTGTGGGCGGCTTTCGCTCGGTTTGGGTAGCTAAAACATCATAGATGTTGCTCTCCTACATCGATTCTTTTCTACTCCATAGCCTTCATCCTAGCCAAGTTACGATTTTTTTTACGAAGCATAGTCCGTTTAGAGAAGGCTCCGTCTGCCGCGGGCAGTTCTTCCATATTCGAATTACCAACTCGGTGCCCACCTTGACCCATTTCTTCCTCTTCTTAGGGCTGTTCTAATTTTTTGCCTGTCAGCGCTCTCCAACTCACTGTGGGCGCAGCTCCGCAGAGCTGATTTGTGTTTTGTAGTTCTTGACCCATGCCCCTCCTATCCAAAGTTTAGAAGACTTGCTGGTTTGCTCAACCATACCATTGAATTGTTATGGCTCTTGTAGTGGGCAAGGCTTCTGAGAATTTTCATCTCTTATAGAAGGTGGAAAGCATTCCACGTGTTGCACCTTTGATTTTATCAGATACCGGATCCTTTTGATAGAATTTTTCATCAGAGGTGAGATGCTGGTGTTATGGAGGCATAAGTTGCTCAATTTCGTTAGCGGTTTATTGCAACATGTGTCCCACATTCAATTTTAGAAAGTTGTCCGTTCTTTCTTTATCTTCAACTTTCTAATGGAATCAATTGCAGAACGCGAACCCGCGCATGTTCAGCGCTAATGAAGACATTGGAATCGCGCTGGCAGGGGTTTACCCTGATTGCCGAGCTCTGAAAGATTACGCATGCAACGAGGTATGTTTTATGACCATTTCATGGGTTTTATTTTTCTCATAAACTTGTTTAGGCTGTGAAATACCTCAAAGACTATCGACAACCAATGCCAATCCAGAAACTTGCCAACGCGGTACGTTTTGTTCGAAGCACTGTTTTCTAATTTCTATTTTTCTGCGTATTTTCTTGAACCTCGTTGCGCGTGGCCTCATTTATTTCAGCTAGCTGAATATGTCCATGTCTTCACGCTTGGTATCAGTCGACCATTCGGTGCATCGGCTTTTTTCACTTCGTGGAATGAGAAGGTTTGCTCGTTTGATTTTTGGGGCCCTTCTGAGAAACTTCTGTGGCTGTTTTTTTAATTCGATTTCTCAGCTGTTGAAAAGGCAACTGTGGAGAGTGGATAACATAAGCTTCTTTAATTTTCTCCTCACCTGCTTTAGTCTTCCAGCTAACTTAGATTCTCTATCCGCGCACCCATTCCGAGAGTTATTTCTCAGCTTCTTACCTCTTTGCGCCAATACTTTTGGCTTGTTTTTTTCCGACCGTGTCAGTTGGCACCGTAATCTCAGCTCACTATTTTTGCAATAATAGGATTTTCAATTGAAACTGCATATCGCTAGAACTGAAATGATTTGGAACTATTTCAAG